ATTTAAGCATCATCTACGGCCGCTTTTGTTCTACAGAGTTGAGTAGTGGCAACAGAAACCATATGGCCTGCAAAGCCTAAAATATTTACTCTCCGGCCCTTTGCAGAAAAAGTTTACCAACCTTCACTGAAGCAACAATCTCCCCCAAAGATGAGAAGAAGAAGAAATATATAGAGGGAAACATGCTGGTAAAAGTCCACAGAGAGCCCAGCCTGGCGTGGCTCAGTGGATGAGCATTGACCTAGGATCCAGGAGATCGCGGGTCGATTCCCCGTCAGGGCACATGCCCGGGTTGCAGGCTCGATCCCCAGTCGGGGGCATGCAAGAGGCAGCCCATCAATGACTCTCTAATCATTGATGTTCCTGTTTCTCTCCCTCTCCCTTCCTCTCTTGGAAATCAATAAAGATATATTAAAAAACAAACAGACAAACAAAAAAAAACAGAGTTCGAGTGGCAGTGTTGACACATAAATATGAAGCTTGACACTTCAGACTTAAGACAGGAAAGGGAGAATGAGGGGCTCAGAGCTATCTTTGTATCCATGGTGACCTCCTCACAGTCTCTGGAAATTTCTCTTGCCTTAGTCCTAGACTTAACCCTCTTTCCGAGAGCGTTGAACACCCCTAGAGGTGTGGCTCTACCAACGTGAGGTGCTCCCAGAACAAGTCACAGCGCCCCGAGAATGGAGCTTCACTCTGTCGTCCCTGAGGCGTGGGCAGCACCTGTGACCTCTGCATCACCTCTGGCGTCAGATAGCCTTTGACGCTTCCAACCCCTTGGGAGTCTCCCTCTTGCCCAATAATGAACCTTAACAAAGTAGCCTCCCATCTCACCTCCTATTTTCTGTCACTCACTCTGTCCTTTGTTCCGCACAGAAACAAAACCATGGTTCAGAAAGGACTCCCGAAAGGTTATCTGTGCAACACAGTGCGAGCCATTCGAGAAGGCCGTGTGTCCGGATTCAAAGGCAGTGGGGGAGGAACAGAAAGGCACACACCTGAAGCCAAAGGACCTCTGTTCACACCCCGAACAACATGAGCTCAAAGAAGTGAGTTCCTTTTTTTTAATTCTTGTTTTCTTGTCTCTGATATTGAAGTAATGATGCTGCCCGCCTCGTACTTTTGCTGTGCAAGTTAAGTAAGATGTGTGTGGATGTGGTTGGATGTGGGGGTGGGCGATTATTTCTGGAACCTCCCTCCGTCCTATTGTCAGCCCAGATGACTCGGATGAAGAATTCTGTGAAAATTCAGTTTTGTTGAACAGACACCTGGACAGGTTGCCCACGCCGACCCAGTGTTGATCAAACCCCACTCACTGACCTTGCAAGCACTAGGGGCACAGAACTATATTCATGAATTAATCAACAAAAGTGCAAATCTTAACATTAACTTGGTGGCTAGACTAGGAAGTTGGCGGGTGGCCCATGATTCCTTCCTTCTTTACTAAGTTCCTGATCTTGTGGGTTAGGTGATCTTATTTGGGGTAGTTGTTGAGGGAGACGAGTTGTTTACATGGGGTTGTACTGCCACCAAAGCATCCTTTCTTTTTTTTAATCATTTTTTTTTTAACTTTTTATAATTTTTATTTTTGTTTAAAGTTTTACAGATGTCCCTTTTTCTCCCCAATGACCCGTTTCCCCCCCGTTCCTTCCCCTTCCCCAGTCACTCTCCCCACCATTGTCCGTGTCCTTGGGTTGTGCATGCATCCTTTCTTGTACTGGCATGGAAATGGGCTCCACTCATCCTCTGGGAATCCTCCAGCCTTACATTTCTGTGCAAATATTCATAAAGATGATGATGGTGGTGGTGATGATGATGATGATGATGATAGCATTTCATGAATATTTATTATGTGCCTCACAAGGTGCTAAGTGCTGTGGCACAATTCTCAGTTGATCCTTCCAACAACCCTGTAAGTTTGGTCTACAAAATTATTCCGACTTCACAGATAAAGACATAGATTAAAAAAGGCTCAGAATCTTCCCCAGCCACAGCCAATAAATGGCAGAGCTGGGATTTAAACAGCTCAGCCGTCTAACTCCCAAGCCTGACTACCTAAACACAGTGCAAAACATTTGGCACCAAAGTTCCTCTGATTTTGCTAGAGGACAGAAATTTTAGATTAATTTCTGCCCATTGTCCCACTCGTAGTTTTTGTTTCAGGCCCCCTCTGGGGCCCTGTTCCCCTGTCTCTACTTACCCCGTCAGTCTCTGCCCAAGCAGTCCTCTTACCCAGCTACTCTCTACGGTACCTTTCTGAACTAAGACCAAGTTACACTCATCAGCTCTTCTCTACAGGGAAATGCCATCCTTTTTCATAATTGGTTGATACAACCAGATTAGAAATTAAATTGGTTTTGTGGGGGTTGTTTTAGCATCTAAACAAATGGAAATGCACAATGGCATGATCTAAGGTGATTCAGAATCTGGGAGAAGACCTAGCTAGCTAGCCTGGAACTTTCAGCCTTATAAAAGTTCACTTCAGTGGTAAGTTTTGTGTCTTAGAATCAAAGAATTCTACAGCTAGAAGGACTTGAATTTATGGAAGAGAAAACTGAAGCACAGACAATGAGGTAGGAAGGAAATGAATACAATAGATTACTTTCTAGTCAGGTAGTATACTGGGACCCTTCACACATAGTGTTCCCGTCTCATCCCAAAGAGTTTGGATTCCATTATTGTCATCAGTGTCAGAGATGAATCTGAGACACTGGGAAGAAATTTAACTTGTCCAGTGACACAGGCAGGTAAATTAAAGTCTGCCTGGGCCATCACACCTCATTGCAAACTAGAGAGATGAGACACTGACTAGGTCAGGGTGTGTCAAAGTGCAAGAACTGGGGAAAAACATGGAAACTAGATCCTGAATTTCAATGCCAGCTCTGAAGACACACAAGAAGATATGCCTAGGCTTCCTGCATATTACTTTGCTCCTCAGTCAAATGGGGGTTAAAAAGTGATATATCGCACAAGCTTGTGATGAGGTGTGACTCCTGGAAGTAAAGAAATGCAGAGGACTCCTGGGCAGCACTGATCTTCCTGTAGACACTGACAGCAGCCTCCGGACTCAAAGAACTCAAGCAATGACCTTGACCCCAGATACAAGGATGAATAAAAGTTCCTTAGCTCTATCCCATAGCAAATATAAAATTTTCAGGGAAACAGAAAGGAAAATAATTTAGGATGTAAGCCTAGGGGAAAGTCAAACATCTGAGAGTGATATGCGCAATGAGCTAAGAGTTCAGACCAAGAAAGCTTGGGAGCTGATAAAACAGATCACCCACAAGCACTGGACATGCTAATTGAGAAGGGACCTGGGGTCCCCGTCAGAAGATGGGCCTGGGGCCAAAACGTATCAAACAGAACTAAGTAGAAGATATACTCCTGGTGTGGAGCTGAGTGGAGATTTAGAGAAGAGAGAAGCGATGGTATGAAGGACAACAGGATGGTATATAAATTCTACTGTTGGACATGAAACCAAATGTTGGTGGCAAGGAGATGGAGAAGTTGGAAGACTTGTGCCTTCCTAGGAGAAATGTTAAATGGTGCAGGCACTGTGGAAAACAGTATAGTGGCTCCTCAAAAAGTTAAATGTATAATTACCATGTGATCTGGCAACTCCACTTCTAGGTACGTATGCAAAAGCTAGAAAGCGGAGCCTCTTCCTGGCCCCCAGCTCATGCCTCCTCACTTCAGATTTGGATACAATCAGCTCTAGGAGATGCCCAGGTCAAGAGGAGGGGCGATGGGGGGTGGGAATCCAGGAATAGTCAAGGGGAGAGAGAGGCCATAGCCCTGCAGCTGCCCTGCCCTCCCTCCTGCCACCCTGCCTCACCCGTGGGTGCCAGGCCAGCCCTCTGCCCGCCAGGCATAGAACGGCTCTGTAGCCAAGAGTCAGGTCATTATATGGCCTGACTTTCAAGTGGCTTTTTAAAAAGTGCTCCAGTGATGGGTGTGGCGAAACAAATGAATACCAATGAGAAAGGCATCTGCTCTGCCAGGGAAATCAAGTTTATTAGGAGCCTCCAAGGGAAGGCTGCTGGCGCTTGGGAGGGTTCTCTGGACAAGCAAAGAAGGAACTGGCCCTGGTGCAGGAGAGGGTGGGCAGGGAATGATCTGGAGTAGGTTGGGTGAATTTCTTGGCTGACCCACTAGGGTGGCTCCAGCCACGCAAACTGTGTCTTCAGGCCCTTATATCGAATGAACCAGAGCCGGGTCAAAGCTCTGGAGCCCTGGGCCCTGCCTCCTGGCTCCTCTGGCAGCCCCAGGGCTCTAGCGTACAAAGGAGCTGCAGGGTCCACAGCGAGGACGGGGGATGCAAGGCGTGCAGGGGGCGCAGGGATTGGAGACACAGGGCCCAATGGGCTTGCTGCATGCGTTGGTTGTGGCGCAGGGGTTGCAAGGCAGGCTGGAGAAAATGAATGATGTAGAAAGGTGAATCGAGGGAGGCTTATAATATATTCCAGAAACACCCCCTCCCCTTCAAGAATGGAATGCCTATCAGGATTTGGCCTGACCTGTAACACACAGGCCACAGGCTCAACTGCTGCAAATCTCACGTACAAATTTCTCATTGTCTCCCTATCACATAGTGCCAAAATTCCAGACAGAAACTGAAGCTCTGGCTTAGACTCCCAACACTGTCTAATTCTGGCTAGTGACCTTGGGGAAGTCCCTTAACTTCTCCAAGCCCCAGTTTCTTCACCTACAAATGGGGAGAATACTGACCCAGCCTGCCTGGTCTTAACTGTATCTAAGGGCAGGTGAGGTGGTGAGTGGACATGTACCCTCCACAAAATACAGTATTATAAAATGTAAGAAATAGCATTGATCTTACATCAATATTATTACATTAGAATGCAAAGAATTGGCTGTACATTTTCAGTTTGTACATCAAACAATTCTTGCCATTGTATGTTTTTAATGATGGGCATATTGTGTTTTCTGAGTTCTATTTGAGGATGTCTGGTGGGAAGGCATAATTTCTTTTCCAGGGTCTGCAATCTTTTCCTGGAGTCTGACCGAGAAGTATGCTTGTGCCTGTGCACGGCTTCATCAAACACTCCCAGCCAGGTACTCACTTGCAGTCCTCGCTCTCCAGCAGGCCCCGGTACGTGTTGATCTCACACTCCAGCCGGGCCCGGACGTCCAGCAGCACCTGGTACTCCTGGTTCTGCCGCTCCAGGTCGCCCCGGATCTCGGCCAGCTGGGACTCCACGTTGGTGATCATGCACTGCACCTGGGCCAGCTGGGAGCTGTAGCGGGCCTCCGTCTCCGTCAGCGTGTTCTCCAGGGAGTCTCTCTGTGTGGGGAAGGTGAGGAATGTCACAGAGCTGCTCCTTTAACACGTCCCTCCATAGACTCCCAGAGCAGTCACAAGCTCCAAGAGTTAAAGAGACTAGGACCCAAAGGGCAGCCCTGTGACTGATTCTGCAGCCTCGCTTTCTCCCCAGGTGTCTGAACACTACCCACCAGGTTGTGCTGGGCCTGCAGCTCGATCTCCAGGGCGTTGACTGTGCGTCTCAGCTCGATGATCTCCGCCTGGCAGGTCTGCAGCTGCTCTGAGCTGGACACCACCTGCTTGTTCAGCTCCTGGGTCTGCAACAAGGTGAGACACAGGGTCAGGCCCTGCCCTAAGGGTCCCACGCTCCTGGGCGGCCCGGTGCCGAGGTGCCCACCTGGTTGGTGTACCATTCCTCCACGTCCCTGCGGTTGGTCTCCACCAGGGCCTCGTACTGGCACCTGGTCTCGTTGAGCACGCGGTTCAGGTCCACGGTGGGGGCGGCGTCCACCTCCACGTTGAGGCGGTCTCCGATCTGGCAGCGCAGGGTGTTGACTTCCTGTGGATGCAAAAAAAACAAAAGTGACTATCCTCAATGAACAATAGGCTGAAGAAATGGCATTGCTTGTTGAAGCCCTGTTAGTCTATTTCCTCAGGAAAAAAACAGTGGAACAATCTATGGCAGTTCAAGGCAAGGTGATCTGTGCTCCATGTGACTCAGCCCTCTCCTCACCATGACTGGGCCATTCACACTTGGATTCAAAGAAAAAAATATGACCAGAGGCATGGAAACATGGAACAGACTGACAGATCTCAGAGGTGAGGGGGGTCGGGGGAACTGGAAGAGATTAGCCAAAGAACATGTATGCGTGTATGTATATAGCCCGTGGACACAGACAACAATGTAGTGAAGGCCGAGGGTGAAGTGGGAGGGGGGCTGGGTGGAGGGGACAAAGAGGAGAAATGGGGACATCTGTAATAGTGTCAACATTTAAAAAAAAGAAAAATTCCCAAGGACTTGCTTGGATGCCATGAAGGACAGACTAATGCTCCACTTAATAGTTTGCAGATTGGCTGCAGATGACCTTATAGTACAAAGACTCGGCTGTACAATTTCAGATTGTATATCAAATAATGCTTGCCATCAAGTAAGAAATCATTTTACCCAGGAGAGAGAAGACGGAGCCCCAGATTAGTCTTCACCAAGAATAGAGACTCAGATTTGCCAGACTTGATCTTTTGGCCCTTGGGGGTGAGAAATGACTTTGCACAGCATGCATACAGCAACGTAGGGAGCTGGTCCACAGCTCAGGAACCAACCACAAGCGGGTGGGGTGCTCTGGGAAATCCAGTTACGAGTGAAAGAGAGATCTGGGAACTTGGATAGGCCTCATCTCTTCATTTTTTCTATTATTATGAAGTATTGGTGTTTTTAAAGAAAATCACGAAAGCCACCTCACCCTGAGACTAAATCAGGTTTCTCCACTTCTCATTTCCGGTCTCACCTCCTCGTGGTTCCTCTTGAGACAGAGCAGCTCCTCCTTCAGGGACTCCACCTGGGCCTCCAGGTCGGCCTTGCACAGGGTCAGCTCGTCCAGGATCCTGCGCAGGCCATTCATGTCCGACTCCACCAGCTGCCGCAGGCCCAGCTCCGTCTCGTACCTGCACAAAGACAGGATCGGAGCAGTAACTGGCAGACCTGCAAGACTCTCAGGGATAATCTTTGATAACCCCTTTCATCTTGTCTTCCCACTTTCTGCAGTGAGTGAAACCAGGAGACAGAGGGTTTTGGAGGCTATCAAGACCCAATATTGATCCAAAAAGCAATAGATTTGAACCAGTGGATAAAACTATTGTTCAGTAAAGCTATAGGAATCCCTTTTCTTTAACTGGAGATTAAACAAAAGAAGTGGACCCCAGTGCACATTCTGAGCGAACTCACTTGGTCCTGAAGTCATCCGCGGCCAGCTTGGCGTTGTCAATCTGCACCACCAGCCTGGCGTTCTCAGACTTGCTGCACAGGATCTGGAAAATGAGAGGTTGCTTAGTGAAGACTGGGAAAAGGGGAAGCGAGAGTCATGGTGACACAGAAGCAAGAAACACACTACCACAGAGTGAGAAGCATGGCAAACTCCCCTTGCTTAGCGAAGACAGCAAGGCCCCTCACCTTCTGCTGCAGCTCCTCGATGGTCCGGAAGTAGGACTGGTAGCTGGGGCACATCAGGGGCTCCTGGGGCTGGCACCGCTCCTGGATGAGGCTCTCCAGCTCCGCATTCTCCCGCTCCAGCTGCCGCACCTTCTCCAGGTAGCTGGCCAGGCGGTCGTTGAGGAACTGCATGGTCTCCTTCTCGCTGCCATTGAAGGAGCCCTCGCAGAACCAGCCGCAGTTGCCCACGTTGGCGGGGATGTTGCAGGCCCCGGGCAGGGGGATGTTGTGGCAGCTGGGGGCCACGCAGGGCCGGGAGGGGCAGCCGGAGCGGCAGCTGAGGCTGGGCAGGCAGCAGTTGTAAGGCATGGTGCTGGGAGGGAGCTAGTCACCCAGCTGAAGACGGAGTTCCAGTTCTCCAAGGAGCGTGTGGGTCTCCCACCTCTGGGAGCATTTATACCCTCTCCACAGAGGGTGTGGACATAGCATGTAAAGTCTTTTTACTTTTACATCTTCACTACTTTTCAGATGCCCTTCCCTTCAGTCTGTTATTTGCCTTCTTCATAAGAGTCCCTTGTCCCATAAAATTCTTTACTTGGGCTTCTTGCTAAGTCAGGACTCCTCTTCGGGCAGTACACCCATGAAATCAGACTTTGTGGTAGACCTTCAAAGAGGCCACACAGTCCAGCCCAAGTAACTGCCCTTGTTAACTGGGAGTTGGTCCATCCAATGACACTCTATTGTGTCACGTGATCCTGTAAACCCATAATCAGCCCCATCTCATGGCCCACCTGGCATCTCTAGGGAGGGACTGGGATTGAGTCAGGAAGTCATATGAAGTGACAGCAATGGGCACCCTTTCCATCTGCTTTAAGAGAAGAATCCTTTAACGCTGTTGCACCCCAGGCTGTGGAAGCCTCGAGGTGGATGAGGCTGGCCGAGAAGGTGGACAGCTGTTTGTGTGACACCTCCTGTATGTCACTTAAAAGGAGTGTAGATGAATTTTAAAGGTGGGGACTTTGATAGCTTGAGATCAGGGAAGGTTCTGGAGGAAGAGATCATTTCTAAAAAGAGTTGGGGGAAAAAGCAAGCTGAGAGATCCATACAGATGCATTTCAGTTACCCAGGAATAGTGTGTGGGGGCAGGTGCGGAAGGAACAAGCAGTACCTGTGGACTTCTCCAGAGGGTGTCCATACCTGGGGACAGGGTGAGCAGGCAGCTGGAATAGCTGGGGGACAGCCCAAAAGGGCCTCCACTAGCATGAAAACCTTTGAAATTGATCTTCAAGCATCATGTGAATTGACTTTATATTCCATAATAGTCCCTTGTTGACTTTAACATAAAAAATGGTTCCAAAAGTTCTAGTTAAACTGTCTAACGTTTTGCCCAGTTCGCTAGGTGAAATTGATGCACCAGGGAGATGGACTGATCTTGTCCTGGGCTTCCCATCCCCAGCCTTACTGGGTTACACGTAGCCTGGTTTAAGAACAGAAGGCTAAAAGGTACCAAGGACGGCTCTGTGGTCGTGTAACTGAATCCAAAGACCCGGTCACCTGGAGAGAAAATGCTGAGAGACAGCATAAGCAGGGGACTTAGCAAAGCAGCCTGGAGGATTTGAGGGTGAAGGAAAGCATTGGAAGGTCTGAGGAAGAGGTGGCCCAAGTTCTGAATATATATACATATGGCATAATTATAGGCATCACCGGGTACCCCTTGCATCTTGGGTAGCAACACCCCAACCCCACTGTAGCTTTGGCTGCCAGCCAGAGCGGCAGTTTTATTGACAACTTATTGGAGTCCTCCCCATCCAGCTTTCATGATAATATTCTTGCAACTCTCCGCTTGAGCCTCAGATAAAAGTTCCTTCATCTACCTCTCCAAGGCCATTATCGCCACTTATTATAATGCCATTAAGATGCCCCACAGCACTACAAAGAAGCCCCAGGCTTATAATAAAATCAGTTTCTTTGTTTTCCTCCACAGCAATTAAAGGGGGAGTATTAGATGGGTCCCGAGGCAGCCTCGCTGAGGCTCCCCAGAGGAAGGCGCGAGGCTGGGCAGCGCAGCCAGTAGGACGCTCCTGCCCCACTCCGTCTGGGCTCGGGACAAGTGGGAAGGCCTGTGAATCAGCCTGATGAGCATTTGCTGGCAGGGAACAGCGCGGGCCTCCTGCTTCCCGACCCCTGTCAGCCTGCTCCACAGCACTGGCTCCCCAGCAAGGAGCTGTTTCCTCAATGGTGCCTTCGTCGCCACCCAGGGAGGTTTTCCCCTGAGCAGACTCAATGCCAGCAGCATCCTTCAAGCTCTTTGGTCTCTACCGACTGCTGGCACAGCCTTGTGGAGGCTGCAGTCAAAGGAAAATGTTCAGGTGCTGAGTATGAGAGGAGTCGAGGCCTGGGTTGACCAGTAAGCCAAGATCGAGACCAGCGAAGTGGAGAGAGGTGGAAGCAGGGAGAGGTGTGTTTAATAAGAGAGGAAAGAACATAAAGAAGAGGGAAGGAGGAAACCTAGAAGGAATCCCCAGAACCACGTGGGGCCACGCGTATCAGACAAAGCTACCCCATCTTCACAAGAGTGAACCTGGATGGCTCAACCCCGAGAAGTAGCCAAGACAACCCGAACTGGTGGACGGAAGAGTGGCCCACCCTGCTGAGTGTCCTGTGGGATGTAAGTGGCGATGACTCAGAAAAGATCTACAGACACGAGACCGCAGACCGCAGCTCCTGAGGCCTCTGAAAGAAGTGACCTTCTTCCAAGGTGTCCCGGCCAGAGCATCACTTTTCTGCTCCAGCCTAAGATTTGTCTGTGGCTGAGAAATACATCGCTGTCTACACACAGGCAGCGTAAGTCAAAAGGGGGACAAGGCTACCAGTTCCTGAATGAGTAAGGAGTGTGGAGAGGAGGAAGGAAGGAAGGAGCAGAGGGAGTGAGGCCTGCATGGGCTTCAGTTCACAGCTAATCAACAGCCACACGGAAGATGCGGGAAAGAACAGGTTATCCCTGTTCCCTGGAGATGCCTTCTTCCCTGCAGGAGGGGAAATGGCACAAGAACCCAGGATGGACATGGCAGATGGGCTGGCTGGTGAGTGAAATGCTGCTGCTACCCCTTAGACACCTAGCCTCTTTCTTGCGGTGTTTTCAAAATATCAACAGGCTTGCGTGAATTTGTTGCTTGGATTAATAAGGAAACTGGGACTCGGGCGTTAAAAGGTCTCCACGACGTCCCAGAGGTTAAGATCAGACTTTGTGTACTCTCGATTCCCTAATTGAAATAGCTGCAAATTTTGTTCACTCAGAGGGAAGTTGAGCAGTCAATGGACTATCAGACCCACTTTCTTTCTTTAGTTCAATTTTATTCGAAATGCACTTATTGAGCAGCTTCTTGGTGCTGGGCATGGGACTAAAGTGATGCAGAGGAATCATGGTTCCAGTAGAGGATTATCTTTTTATGAACAATTCGGGTTAATATGGGTCCCAAAAATATTTGAGAAATAACAAAAACATAAGGAGGTGAGATATTTAAAAGGTGTGAGATAGACATTTGGAAATCAGTTTGTGTTTGATGGAATTAGAAGGCTGTATGTATGACATCAAGGAAAGCAGGCACCTGTCGAACATCTATCAAGCACCTGGCATAGTCCCAGGGCTGGGGACAGGAGGACAGGGGGACGGTAGGGAGATGACAGGTCGCTGTCCTCCGTGAGCTCTCAGTCCTGTTGAGCAGACAGACAGGTCCACAGCTAACTCTGATATAAGATAATTGAGCCCCTCACCTCCCAAAAGTTTCTTCCTGCCCCCTTCCCACTTCCTCCCATACCGATTCCTGCCCCAAACCCCAGTCAGGGCTTTTCAGCGCAGTTGTGATTCTCAGCCAGGGGCAGAGGGATGAGGCCATTTCAGACGATTTACTTGTATCCCGAGGGTGTATAGGCGGCCCCACTCTCTAGGTGACTCAGGTAGGATCCAACTGATCTCAGAATCCATATCCCTTTTAGAATCTTTGCTTCAACCAGGCCTGGTAACTTGTTATTTTGATATTTGGTTCTTGCTGTTTTGGAGACCGCAGGGCGGTGGTGGCAGCTGCCCATCCCCTCAGCCCTGCAGCATCCCCGTAGGTACCGGGATGAGTTTCAAAGCAGGTGAAAGAAGCAGGAATGGGGCAGAAGGAGGAAAAGCGGCAACGCTCACCCAGCACTTTCAGGCTGGGCAGCGAACCAGAGCGGCCACCCGAGCAAGTGAAAGAGGAAACAGAAAGGGGGGTGCGATCCGTGGAGAGAAAAGGCAGTGACACCTGCTGGCGAGCAGACACAGCTCTGCCACCCTCGGGATCAGAGCCCTCCTGCAGGGTGGAGGCGCAGAGAAGGGCCTTGGGGGCCTGCGGGAATGACCCAGGCTCACGTTGAGGATGCCGACAACCAGGGCGGGAGGGAGGAGGGAGCCACGGGAGATGGAGTGCAAAACCCACATAAAGGGGGAACCGCCGCTGAGGGAGGCCAGGAGGCGGCCAGAGGCTGGAGGCTCAGTCTGCAGTGGTTGGGTGAGGAGGGCTTTGCAGGGTGGGAGAAAGCAGGGGGAAGATTACCCTGGGGAGACTCCCAGGGCCCACAATACCTTTGCATGTAAATTTATCTCTGTGGGTCTGAAAGCGAAGTGTTATCCAGACCGCTAAGCAAAGCCCTTCGTGGTCCAGTGCAGGGAAAGGGCAATGGGCTGGGTCTGAGAAGACTTGGGCTTGAGTGAGACCAGCTGTGAGAACTCGGGGGGGTCATTACACCTCCCCAGCCCTGACCTCCCACTGCAAAATGGGGATGGTGACGCCTGTTCTGTCTCTCTCAGGGTTTGGCACATATGAAAGTACCTTGTAAATGGTGAAATGATGAACATATGTATGGGAATCTATTTTTCATCTCCTCCCCTTCCTCAATGGACCAAGTGGTTTTATTAATTGCAGGGGGTTGGACCGACCTTCTTTGGTGATTCCCAGACATTAAAATAGCTGGGGTCCTCAAGCTGTTTTGAGGTGCTTTGGGAATTTCATTCTTTGCACCACCTTTTGTGACATAAATCTTCAGAAATGGTTCCTGTTGCATAAACACTATCTCATTTCCTTCGAGGAAAAGCATTGGGGGTAATTAAGGTTCCGCTGGCACAAGCTGAGACTCAGCCTCTGTAAAGCACACGGGTTAAGAGCAGTTGCTGGAGGCAGACTGCCTGGATCTGAATCCTGGCTTCACTACCTGGCAGCTGTGTGATCTTGGCTGTGTTACTTAACCTCTCTGAGCCTCAGTTCCTCATCTGCAAAATGGGGATAGCAAAAGCATTGGCTTCATAGGATTGCTGTAAGGATTAAATGAGTTTATGTATATAAACTTATCTGTAACTTAGTGCCTGGTTTATAGTACGAGCTCAATGGCGAGCTTTGATTACAATGTGATGATGAAGATGATGATAAAGAAAACGATGATTGTGGTGGTGGTGATGATAGTGATGATGGTAATGAAGGGCTCTTTGGTTTCCAGGGGAGCTCTTCACCCCCCCCCCCAAGTATAATAAGCCCTTCTACCCAGCATTTCTTCCCAGGAACCCAAACCATTTCACACATGCACACGTACACAAACAATGTCTCATCAAAGCTAATGTTATAATTATAAATGACAGGGCATTGGATGTGAACTTAAGAAATACAGGTCAATCACCCTGGGGCCCCATTGACTCATTTCATGTCACCAGAAGAATCCCTCAACCACCGAGTGACTCACCTTCTCTCCCTCTCCTTAAGTGGGAAGGACAATGCTTGCCTACTCTGTCATGTGCAGGAATAAGTAGGTTTATTTTGTTAGACAGCTTTGAACTTGTTGGATGAAAGGAGCTATTTAAGTACAAAAGAGGAGGTAAAGGTGTTTGGGCCAGGTGCCAAACTAAGACTAATCAAAATTGCTCTTTCTTATTGGGACCCACTCTTGGGTAAGTGCCTCAGGGGTGTGTCACCTGGGCCCAAACACCACCACTTGGGGAAAAAGCAGAGGCACAGTGGAGGGGAGAGGAGGGCGTGACAGCCTCTGACCCTTCTGAAGCTTCCTGTGATGGGAGTCCTGACGCCTCCCAAGCAGATCAGTCCTGTCTACATGGACAGTAGCCAACAGGTAAGATTCTGGTTTTGAGAGCAGTTGAATGCAGAGCAACCAGATCCTGGCTTAGCTCTCTCTACCGCTAGAGCTTGGGACTGTGGTCACTCCTGCACCAGGAGGGGCTAGATTCAGCAATCATCAGCTGGATTTTGTAAATGTCTCAGCAAGTGACTTCAATTCAGAGAGTTCACAGAGCAGAGAGGGAGTCGGTTTGTTGGCTCCACTTTAACACTTGTGGTTTCACTGACAAATAAGACCTAGAAAGCAAGGAGTCATAGAATTTGAGGACTAGATGGCCCTCTACAGTCATCTCATCCAGCCCCATCAGACACCTAAGTCCCCACCTCAACATCTCCACCAGGTGGTTGCAAAGGCCCTGTTTAAATGTCTCCAGTGATGAGGAACTCACTGCTTCCCATCTTGGCCAGTTGCAATGTTGCTGTGTGGAGACATGCTGTTCTCGCCATGGCTGCCTAAATACGATCCCCTGGTCCATATGTCTACTGCCTGCAACTTTCAAGCTTCCAGAAGGACTTGGCAGTGGATCCTGTTGAGGAGCTTGGGTGGGTCAGTTTGACCCTTTCTGGACTGATAGTCTGATGGCTCAGCAATCACCATCATTTAATATGTCCAGAGTTTCATAATGTGCAGAGGACATGCGCTATCTCAATGGTCTGGGGGATTCCTCACCCATGGGGCTTGTCAGAAGAGCAAAGCCAATCCCCTCTGCAGTGTCTGGCCAGGCAGGGGCTCATTCCCCAAGTAAAGCCCCTAACCCAGTGGTTCTCAAACATGAGAGTGCATAGAATCATCGGGAAGTCTTGGTAAACCAGACTACTGATTCAGAAAGTCTGGGGTGGGGCTCAAGAATTCGAATTTTCAACAAGTTTCCAGGTAATGCTCGTGCTGCCGGTTGGAGGACCACGCTTTAGGAACCACCGCCCTCACCCTTCTCATGTTTGATATTTCTTCCCTTCAAAGCTTCCAGAGTATGGGCTTTGGACCCAGTTTAAAGAGATTGAGGTTCAAGTCTTGACTCAGCCACCAGCTGAGAATAGCAACAGCTGCTCCCTGCTTGCAGGGCTTCTGGGGGATCCTGTTCACAGTGCCTGTGAAGCCCAGCACAGGGCCTTACTCGTCATGAACATGAGGTGACAAAAGCTAACTCTATGCAGAGACCTGGCAGAACCTCTGGATGGACCTTTTCCTTTGCACAGAACCGTGTTTCTTCATCCAGATAAAAGGGGGCTCTTATTTAGTGTCTGTATCTTAAAAGCTCTGTGAATCTGGCTCTAAATAGTTTCGGTGGGGTCCAGAGCCAGGTATCTCTCATCTGCCATTTTGCTGCCATCCCAGCTTCACCCCGGTCATCACAGGCTGTGCCATCTCCTAGAACCATTCTGGTGAGTGAGCCACACGCCCTGCTTCCATGGGACCAGTTGGCTCAAGGAGCTCCCAGCGACACTCTCAGCATGGGATGGAGAAACAGAGACCAGCAGGCCCTGGGCTCCTTATGCTGCAGAAGCGAAGTTTATTAGTAAAATGAAAACAAGGTTACCTGCCACATCTCAGAGAAACCGGGAGGCAGTGGAAGGGAGAAAAGGAAGCACAAGTCCAGGGGCCGGAGCTGAGCTGCTGAACTGGAAAGTCCACCAGCAGAGAAGTACCTCCCGCCCGGCTCCAGGCTCCAGGCTCCAGGCTCCAGGCTCCAGGCTCCAGGCTCCAGGCTCCAGGCTCCAGGCTGGCTGAGGGAGTAAGGCTCAGAGGGCAGGCCCGGTGGAGCCCAAGGAATGTTTTCCATTGTCTAGTACCTCAGACTGAGGAATATGTCAGCACTGAGGCGATGAGCAGGGCCCACAGGAGGCCCGAAGAGGCCGGGAAGGGCAGGGAGGGCAGGGCGTACAGGCTGCAGGGGCTGGGCAGGGGGTGCTGGAGGCCGGGGTTGTGCATGGGTTGCAGGGAAGCCTGCAGGGAGAAAAAAAGCTGTTTGTACCATTGGCATCAGAAGTTCACAAAAGACAAAAGTACACAGGCACTTTAGAATCGGAGGCGCAAACAGGATAGTAGACCTTCCAGGTCCCTCTAGAAAGGGGAGTGACTTGCCCAGAGTCCACAGAGGGACTGCGGCCTGAGCTCAGAGCACCCATGTGTAAAACGAGGGTTACCTGCCACGTGCAAGGCAGAAAGGCTGATGAATGGGAGCAGGCCAGACGTAGGCCATGCTCTCAAACACAGCTTCTAATCTTGTCCCTTGCTGCGGAAAGGGGTGTAGTAGTCATCTTACCTTCCCTGCAACACTGTGAGGAGCTAAGTGAGAGATAGGTGCAGATGCCCTGTGAGTACTTTTAACGCTGAGTGTGAAGATCCCTGATCCTGGAGTATTTCTTCCAGAGACACGTTAGTAAACCTAAGTGCACGGAGCTCTCTGTACTGTAGCCCCTCTGCCAGTGACTAGCATCTAGGAGGGTAACCTGGTCAACGCAGTGGACAGCATGAGCTGGAAAATTCCTGCACACTCTCCTCTACATCCAGGCAGCTCACCAGGCTTACTGGGTAGCAAGTTTGTCTTCAAAGATTCCATCTGCAATGCCACCTTCCTTTTAGGTCATTGCCAATAAGAGGTCTCTCTCTTACACATGACATTGACACAGACATTAGAGGACATACTTGCAGTCCTCGCTCTCCAGAAGGTTCTGGTACGTGTTGATCTCACACTCCAGCCGGGCCCGGACGTCCAGCAGCACCTGGTACTCCTGGTTCTGCCGCTCCAGGTCGGCCCTGACCTCGGCCAGCTGGGCCTCCACGGTGCTGATCAGGCTCTGCATCTGGGCCAGCTCGGTGCCGAAGCGGGCCTCGGACTCACACAGGGAGTTCTGCAGACAGTCTTTCTGTGATGCCAAAGAAAATGAGAAGCAGGTTAAAAATCATGGATCCCTGCCCTCAGGCTCTGCAGCCAGACCATTATACCCCTAGATGGATCCAGGCCCTGAGAACAATCGGGCTCAGTTGGCAGTATCCAGCTGGAGGAACTGACAATGTGCTATGACTCTTCATCCTAGACCTTAGGATGGGTTTGCAGAACCTCCCTCATCTGGGTAAGTGCTCATTCCCTCAGCATTCACTTCTATGAGAATGTTTGATGCAAGGGAGATGAGGTCAGGGTTTCAGCTGTGTCCTGGTCTCTACTTAAGGGAGGCATGTACTGAAACAGGAACTGTTCATGGGGGTGGGAGCCAAGCCGAGTCTTCCATGCATGCAAAGGAGCTCACCAGGTTGTGCTGAGCCTGAAGCTCCACCTCCAGGGCATTCACCGTGCGTCTCAGCTCCAGGATCTCCGACTGACAGCACTGCAGCTCCTCAGAGCAGGATGTGGCTTGCAGGCTGATGCCTTCAGACTGAAATACAGTGGGTCAAACAACACAGGTCAGCTCACTGGCCCATATGGAAGCCAGGCTCCCCCTCCCCGCTGCTCTGCAGCACCGCCTCACCTGAGCTTCAAACCACTGCTCCACATCACGGCGGTTGGTCTCCACCATGGCCTCGTACTGGCACCGCATCTCCTCCAGCACCCTGCTCAGGTCCACGGTGGGCTCAGTGTCCAGCTCAATGCGGAGCCTGTCCCCCAACTGGCATGTCAGAGTGTGGACTTCCTGTGGGCACAGGAGGATGTCCCATTCATGGGGCCCCTACTGCCCTCCACCCAAAGCCTCAATGATCTCCCACAGTCCATTATCCCCAGTGTGTTCCTCTGTGGGTGAGGAACATGTTGCCACTGAAAGCCAGAGCTCCCCTTCAGAGCTTCTGAGGCTTAACCACAAAACATGGCCTACAGAGCTTCCATCCTGAGCCAGAGGAAGAGCCTCATTTCTTCCCCCAAATGAGCCTGAATTCACCCCCAGAAGTCTACACAGTTCACACAAAGGGCCACCCACCTGCTCATGGTTCTTCTTGAGGCAGAGCAGCTCCTCCTTCAGGGACTCCACCTGGGCCTCCAGGTCACACTTGGCGAGTGTGAGGTCATCCAGTGCCCTGCGCAGGCCACAGACGTCAGCTTCCACCAGCTGGTGGAGTGAGTGCTCCATCTGGTACCTTTACCAGGCCAGGTACAAGAGTCAAGGTTCAAGAGCAGAAGGGGCCCCAGGACCCAACTTACAGCCATAACCTCACTGGCTTCTCTCTGCAGCCTAATTGTGAGTTGGCATTTCCTATGTAGTGTGCTCATAGCCAGAAAGCAACAGGGTGCTCCCCCTTATTCAACACCAAGCGCCTAAGATGAGCCAAGCAGAGTGGCCAGTCCTGAGGATGCTGGGATGGATGGTGGCTGATGGTCAGAGGGGAGGCAGCTGAGTACTCAGCGATTATAATGCAGTGTGATCACTGCAGCCCCCCCTCTTCCATTTTCCCTACTGAGATGGACCCTGGATCTCTCGGATTAAAAGCCAACTGACAGAACGGGAGGAAGGAAGTAGCTTTCTTTAGCTCCAGAGGAGTGAAGCTTCCCCGGTTCCTGAAGAAAGACTGCAAAGCCCAATGCCCCTTCCTGCTCCCAGATGGGACCTTCTCAGGCGGTGTAAACCCTTTGACCCTCACATGTTTCCAGGCACCATGAGTGATTCGTGCTCACAAGTTGGTCCAGCTGCAGTGTGGAATCCTATCCTCACCGAGGCAGCAGAGCTTCATAGGAAATGACCTCAGGATAGGAAATTGGGGCCAAGTTCTGGCTCTGCCTCTCAGTGACTTCTGTCAAGTCACTTCAACTCTGTGAGCCTCCGTGTCCTCAGGAAGGAGAAGTCATCACTGCCCTGCCTGCCTCACAAGGTTCTTCCTACAACTGAGTCAAGTGGCTGATGATTCTAAATCACATTGTAAACTATAAAAGCTAAATAATAATGGGGGTGAGGGGTGGTTCTTCCAAGATCTCGGGCTTAATGCCCTTTGTTTTCTCTTGCTGCAACTGTTGGCTTGGGTCCTGGTCGGTTACCTCTCTAATGTCAACTGTATCACAAGAGAGAAGCAGCCAGGAGAGGCACCTGGCCCCTCCTCCTCCCCGCCCGACCCCAGCTCACTTGGTCCTGAAGTCATCTGCAGCCAGCTTGGCATTGTCGAGCTGAATGACCAGCCTGTTGTTCTCAGATTTGATGCACAGAATCTGGGGAAAGGAAGTAGGCTCAGTGAGTCACTGTTCTTAGACCATCGGTGGCCTCGGGTCAAAGGAAGTCCTGTGGGCCAGGGTTTGAACTGAAACATCCCCTTGGACAACACAAACTCCCAAACATGTAAGAGATGCTTGTGTGGTGCGGGGTGGGGAAGGGGGGTGCAAGAGGATGCTTGGCTGAGGAACCGAGAGATGGAAGGTAGTGGTAGCAAACTAAACATATATCAAAGACAATTTTATTTTGCCAGGTTGATACTTAGCCAAATATAAACAAGATCTAGAGTCTAGACCAGAGAACAACGGCTGGTTACGAAAGTTTTAGATAAGGTGGGGTGCATTTCTAATAAGTTCTTTGCGCCAGTTGGGTCAACCTCCCCAGAGGTCTTCTTTGAATCTGGCCCCATTTCTGTGGCACCCATCCTGACATTCTTTGTCTTCCTATCTCCACAACTAAGATGTAGGCTCTTAGGCAGCATTGACTTGGTCATCAAAGGAGACAGCAGATGTGCATAAGAGGCCAGTGCTACTGAACAGGATATACACTGGCTCATGCCGGACATTAAAACACATTCCTCTGACCCCTTTCACTGCACCAGAAGTTAGGTCACACTGTTTTTGCAACTACAATTCAGGAATTGTAAGTACTGAGCCTAAGTAGGCATAAACTCAGAATCTTGGAGAGTAAGATTCTACATCTCATCTTTTACACATCCCTGTTCACCTCCACTCAAGAGATTCTCTTCCCACATCTAAAAAACATGTCAGCTGTTGCTGCTTCCACTCCCCGTCCAGGTCATGGACATTTAGTGCAAGGATCAATCATCTTTTTCTGTAAAGGGCCAGATAATAAATATTTTAGGCTTTGCAGACCATGAGTCTCTGTCATGACTACTCAACCCTGCCATTGTAGCACAAAGGCAGCCAAAGACCATGCATCAGTGAAAGAGCACAGCTGTACCAATAAAACTTTATTTACAAAAATCAGGCAGCAGGCTGCATTTGGCCTGAGGGCTGCAGTTTGCCAACCCATGTTCTGGAGCACCACAGACCTCACCTTCTGCTGGAGCTCCTCAATGGTCGGGAAGTGGCACTGGTAGTTGAGGCACATGGTGGTGTCACGGCATTTGCTCCACTCTCGGATCTTGGTCTCCAGCTCCGCATTCTCCCGCTCCAGCTGCCGCACCTTCTCCAGGTAGTTGGCCAGGCGGTCGTTCAGGAACTGCATGGTCACCTTCTCGTGGCCATTCAGGGTGCCTTCCCCATAGGCCCCACAGCTTCCAATGTTGCCAGGAATGTTGCGGGTCCCTGGCAAGGGGCAAGCAGTGTGGCAGCTGTGGGGTAGGCAGAGGTTGGGTCTGCCCAGAGGGGTCGACCCCACACGAACTCGGTTGGCATGTGCCAAGGTGGCTGAGAGGCCCAGGGAGGCAGCCTTGGCCTCTGAAACCTGCCCACTGAGGGGAGAACCACAGTGGTCGGAAGTCATGGTGCTCAAAGGCTAGACTCCTGCTTTGTCCACGGTTGCATTTGTTTGAACCTAAAACCTTCCTTCTCTAGATCTTATATAAGCCCGTAGTGGGAGTTGGTGCAAGAAAACTGGCATTTTGCTCATTAATATTTATGTCAAATGTTATACGATCACTCAGTTAGTCAGTGATTTTGTCTCCTATAAAGAGTTAATGAGTTCATGAAAGAGGCCTAACCCACACAGGGTGCTTCTCATCAGTGCAGAGTCCTAGAAAACAGGGGAAAGGCCTCTTCATGGGGCTAAGAATTCTTTCCCTGCTGTCATCTTGTATCTGTGAAATAATCAAGACCCAGAGACTCCTAAAATGTCCTCAAAATCTGTCACTCCTGTAGTCTTTTCCTACCGTGGAATGTTTGCATCATGGCAAAGCCTAACATATTAGTCAGTCAAGCACACTGAAGAAAGAAAAATCTCCATTAGCTTGTTTCAGCAGATATGTATGGAGTGCCCAGGGTGGACACTGCTCGGCTGCTTGGAGGGAGCAGTGGTTAATTTTAATAGAGAGAAGAAAGTGAATGGCCTTGATACGATAAAGGCACTAAGAGGAGTGCTAAAAATATTTTTTAAATAGAAGAGAGCTGTGAAGATTTTAAGAAGAGAGCATAGTGAGACCAGAAAAAACTTCACAGAATAGGGAGCATTTAAAACATGTTTTGATTAGTGGTTTCCATGAGGGATTGGGGGAGAGTAGCTCTCACAAAGAACAAAATGAACAGAACCAAACATGTTGGGAAAACGGAAAAGTCTACTTGTGTTGGCGCTTACAATGAAGACATATAAGCCAGCCCTGGAAAGTTGGGTTTAGTCCAGATTGTGGGAACCTTGAATGCCAGGACCATCCCATATATAGTCTTCAGGTAAAGGCAAGTCAAAGATAAGATCTACCCCTTGTAGCTGACTTATCTCAAATGTGAGGGGAAATTGCTAGGTTCCTTTTGAAGGAAGTAAGAGAAAAGAGAAGGAAGCTTCCTGTATAAATATAAGGGGAAAACACTAGGCCCAAACAATGAAAGAGAAATGTAAATTCTAAATCAATTTTGGCATTGGAAAACTAAATAACATACTTCAATAACCCATGGGTCAAAGGAGAAATCAAACGAGAAATTAAAGTATTTTGAACTGAATTTAAATGACAGTACAGCATGTCGAACTGATTTGGGGCAATTAAGACTTTCCCTGAGCAAGTGTGAAGCCAATGAGCAGTTTTGAAAGTGGGGGAAAAACTTGGGGATGAAACTGGGTAAGTTGTGATTCCCAAGAAATGAAATTACGTTGCTGTGTGTTTGAGTCTGCAGTGTAATTAAGGCGGGCATGACTTATACTTTAGAGTGTTTGGTCTCAGGCACCTCCCCATCCTTTCAGGGCATTTCTCCTTGTCAGACACTGATCCTCTCACCCACTGAGTGGTCCCCACCTTATTTTAAAAGATACACACTCAGGAACTTTGATCTTTCGCCTTTTGAAACTTTTTGCATTTCTTTGAAATGCACCTACCTTGATTGTCCATTACTTGGGAGACTCTAGAACAAAATTTAAATTTCCTTAATCCTCAGACACACTCAGCACATCAGAAGTTTTATGGCCTCGTCTATTCCTAAAGCAAGCAAGCCAGTGGGCAGCTGTTTAATAAGCCCTGGAAAGGGCCGGGCAGCCAGCTTCCAGACTATGCTAACGAAGACGCTACTTTGACCCCGTTCTTAAGATGAATGAATTCACCAGGAGGGCCCTTGAGGCAGCAGTGCATGTTATAGCTGGCTCAAAAATGTAAAATATCCAGGCCAAAGAGGATCTCAAAGTCCTCTAGTGTAGGATCCTTGGGCATTAGATCCCTTCTGATAACCTCCTTCTACCTAGTTGCCCGGACCACCATTTCCCAGGGTGACTCATCCCACCATTGGACAGCTTGGCCCCCGTGGCTCCCAGTATCCCAGACTGGGTACAAGACAGTGGAATCAGGAGATAAATAACAGCTAGCTTTGCCTTAAAAGACTTATCACATCAGGATTATTAGAAAGTTCTTTATGCAGAGACAAATCTACCTCCTTGCTATTTCTACCTGTTGTTTTCATTTGTTCTTATAGTCATTCATTCAGCAAATAGTCCTTGAGTACCTACCTGAGCCAAGCAGGCACCGGTGCTGGACGCTGGGGATACATTAGCAAGTAAGTCAGAGAGTTGGCTCTTCAGCTAATTTCTTTTCTTGTCCCCACGGGGTCCCAGAGAGGATAAGTCCAGTCATTCTAAGTCCTCTCCTGAGTATATTCCTCTGAATGCATTCCCCATAGTTCCTATCACCTTAAATGGGGGTCTTGGAATAGAATTTCTAATGAGTTTGGATTAAGAGGCTGCCAATAGATGTGTACAGATGTGTGCAGATGTGGGTAATATTCAAACTCAGGGTTTACCACCATCAGCGACCATGTCCCAGTGACCTACTCCAAGCGATCCAATATTCAAGAGCTCCTGCCCCAGCAACGCCCTCTCGAGGCACCATGGGGGTGCAGAGGTGAATCAGAGAATTCCCACTTCTCGAAAAGCTGAGAGCAGTCGATATAGACCATGTAACTCAGAGGAAGGAGAGGTCGCAGAGCGTTAGAGACGTAGGGTATCAAAGAGACTTGATCTGGAACTTGAAAGATAGGCAGGAGGAGGCTCTTACCAAGGGCCCGGGAAGCATGTAATGGAAACCAAATCCAGCCACCAGCAGTGCCAGCAGGAAGGAAGGGGTGGGGACAGAGGTGTTACAAAAGGACTCTGTAAGACTGAGTGATTTGCTGTGTATGGGAGGTGGAAAGAGGAAGGAACACCAAAATGTCCTTGAGGTCACCCCTGGGTTCCTGGGACAGTAATGAGATGGGAAGGGAAGCTGGGAAATCAAGGCAAAGGGCTGGCTAAAGGGAGAAGAGCAGAATTCGAGTTTGGAGAGTGTGAAAGTGACGGGGACTGTCCACCAGGGGGTCCGAGATAAGTGCCTGGAGCCAGGAGAGAGCAGCCTGGGCAGCTCTGAGAAACCCTCCTGAGCTGCTAAGGTAGAGAGGTCGAGCTAGCCCAGGGCCTTGCATCTGAACAGGAGCCCTTGTTTTCAATGGGAGCATGATACTAGAGGGGAATGGCATTTGGAATCTCCAAAGCAGGTGGCAGGGAAGGTATTTTGGGTAGAGGGAGTGTTATTTGAAAATAAGCACAAGCTGGGTTCTAAATGAGCTGCCTTTTAGTCATAAAATGAGTTTGATACTTATATTTTCGAAAGTTAAAACATTAAATGAGAAGATGAGAGTTTTTTAAATATTCATTAAATGAAAAGCCATGAATGAGTGCTAGGTGGCTCCAAACTGGCTCTGGTCTCAACCCAAGGCAGCCAAGTCTCAGAGGAAGAAAATATTAATCTGGCTGAAATTATTGTGACCAAAGCAAAATGAGACACCACATATAAGGCCAATTTGTGAGGGTGTCACGATGCAGCCAGGCCACAGAGGGGAACATGACATGCAGATGGGACAATCACCCTGAGGAAGAGGGGTGCTTGGAGTTGGTACCAGAGGGAGTCCCGAGCCCTTAGGCTATAATAATGGCTGTGAGCAAAATCTCATGTCCAAGTGCCCTGGGCCAGTTACCTGCCGGCCTCCCTAATCTGCAGTCCCTCCTGGATCCGAGTAGCCTTTCCCGCATGCCTACTAGTCATGAGGGCACCCCAGTTAGAGTTCATTCAGAGTATGTCCTGGCCAGGGAATGAGGGACAGACCAGGTTTCCATGGCTCTGGCACAAGAAGGGGTCATGGCCACTGTTTAAAACACATAACTCTTGGGGGTTACTTGATAGAAGGAAGCCCAAAAGAGCCCAATGGACATCCTTGCCCTCTGACAGCCCAAAGAATGCTTTTTAAAAAATTTCAGTTAGGCCACTAGGAATGAGAAATTGAGCTCCAATTACAACAGTGGATGGTTTTCATGATTTTTTTTTTTAACCCTCACCCGAGGATATTTTTTCCATTGCTTTGCAGAGAGAGTGTAAGAGGGAGGGGGAGAGAGAGAAACATCGATGTGAGAGAGACACGTCGATTGGTTGCCTCCTGCACACGCCCCGACCAGAGCCCAGGATCGAGCCTGCAACCCAGGTATGTGCCCTTGGCCGGAACTGAACCTGGGACCCTTCAGTCCATGGACTGACACCGGAACCACTGAGCCAAACTGGTTAGGGCATTTTCATCATTGTTTATAAGTGGAAGGGAGTATGGACAAACCTCCAGGCCACCAACGTGGGAATATGTGGTTTCTGGTGCTGCTAATGGGCTCTGCTACCACCTCTTTCCCTCAGGGAAGAAAAGACTATCCCTGCTGGTTCCCAGGGAGCCCATAAACCAATATTCATTGAGCGCCTTCTGTATGCTGGGAACATTATATGGATTCTCCCTCAACAACAATGAGGGGAAGTACAATTATTCTAATTTTACAAATAGGTCTTAAGAGAGCCTAGTGACCTGGTCAGCTCCACTCAGCTGGCGATGCAGAGGTTGGACTTGAGTCCAGGTCTGCCCAACTCTGGAGCCCGTGTTCTTGCCACCATACTAGGCTACCATGAAGAAGGACCAGCTTTGCATTGGTCTTTGGACCAGGGCACATGGGCTAGCTGAGATCTGAGAGCTCCATTCTTCTGGACACACTCAGCACTTACAGAAAGCAAAATTGACTAGCTCAGCATGGAAGGAGCACAGCCTCTCCGGTGCAGCTCCCAAATGCTCTTCCACCGAGTCTGGCTGTGAACCACCTTGAACAGTGTCAGAGCCACATCCAAGAGGCTGGCAGGCATTCAGAGCACTCGTGGCAACTGCTGTCCCCACACCAGCATTTGGAAAGTGGCAGTAGAGGAGACAAGCATGCATGTCAGTGGCAGCGTCTCTCATCCACATCCCACATCCCACATCCCAGAAGTGGGCCAGGACTGAGACAATTGTCCCCAGGGCCCAAGCTGAGCCTCCATGTCTAAAAGAAGAAGGTAATTCCATTGCCTCCATGAAGGGGCCAGTTTGAATGAGAGAAAAAACTTGGCAACCTGGGCAAGGGAGTTCTCAGCCTGACCTCCCTTTGACTGGATTGGAACTCTAATTTGTGTGGTTTTGCTCTTGAACAAAACACCAGAAGGCTGCAGATGCCAAAAGCACAGTAAGGACATGTTAGTTCTGAGCTGTTCTGAAGGAATTCAAACTTGGCAACCAACACCGCTTCCTTTCACCAATCTGTAGGGATCGCCGGGTAAGGTGAAGACATGTCCAGTGTCAACAAACGACCTTCATCCAGGGGCTCAGACCCCAGTGCCCCAGAGGGATCCTGGTAGCAACACATTAGGGCCAGTGACCACCCAAGGGCCTGAGGGCCAGAACTCCTTATCACACCACAAATACTGCCAAACACAGGAAGGAGAGCACTTGATGCAGGAAGGAGGTTTATTGACCGTTTAATACAGGAGCCCAATTACATTTTGGAAGATTCTGAAGCAATGGAGTAGAACCAAAATCCCAGAAGAGAGCCGGGGAGAAAAACAATAGTTTCAGTGGAAGACAATACAACATTTTTAAAAATCAGCCTGAGGCACAAACAGGAAGCCAATATTTAGAAGTGTCTGCTGCCCTTTGATTCGATGAAAAGGCCTCCAGTGGGTTTGGTGTTTCTAGAGGAAGAGTTGGCAAGGCGAGGGCAATCCAAGCCTCAGTGCAAACGGCCCTGACCTCCGGCATTGGACTCAGACCTTCAGAATCAGCTCTCATGAAGACACACAGGCCGGCGGGGCACAGCTCGGACGAAGGGTACAGGAGGCAGGTGTAGAGCAGGGATTGCAGGGCAGTCTGCAGGGAGAGGGAAGGAAGAGTCAGACATGGGAAATAGAAGGGTCTCAGTGATGGAGACAGAGGAGGTCAGACCAAAACCATGTAGGGAAGGTCTGCCATAGACAAATCACACGGCCCAACAGAACCTCCTCCGTCAGACCCACGTCCACACTCAGCTGTGCTGTTCCATATCCAGGCGTCCTCGGAGGGGGGCTTGGCTTAGGGACCTGGCTACCATTTGTGATCCATTCTTTCAACCGCACAGTCTGCACACACCAGCAATGGTCAATGAGGCACTAAGGCACTGTGAGGCATGTTCTTTAGGATGCAACCTTCCACAAGCACATAGTTATCTCTGAGGAATCTGATGGTCAGGCATGTGGCCTGGCAAGGAATTGCTTAGATGACACGTACTTGCAGTCTTCACTCTCCAGAAGGTTCCGGTACGTGTTGATCTCACACTCCAGCCGGGCCCGGACGTCCAGCAGCACCTGGTACTCCTGGTTCTGCCGCTCCAGGTCGGCCCGGATCTCGGCCAGCTGGGCCTCCACGGTGCTGATCAGGCTTTGCATCTGGGCCAGCTCGGTGCCGAAGCGGGCCTCAGACTCACACAGGGAGTTCTGCAGACAGTCTTTCTATAATGGGAAATAATAGGGAAAGAGTCCCAGGGGACGCAAAATTCAGCAGTGAAGGTCATTGTTGAACTCACCAGGCAGGGCGCAAATTCCAGGAAGTCACAGGGCATCCCCAGAGCTCTGAAGAAATCACAGTCAATGTGACCATGTCTTTACAAACACAAAAAACATCTAACTTAAACTCATTTCCCCCTAATATCTCCAATACCTGACATGAAGTAGACACCCAATAAAATCTTGTGAAATGAGTGCATGAACCTCCACACCTCATTCTGAAAGAAGTAGAGTTGACTTTTAATAAGAACCATTTTTCTGGGTCAAACTAGCCTTAAAAGCAAGTCATCTCCACCGGGAAGAGAGGTATCCAGATTGCATTCTAACTTAATGTTAACGGAACTGTGTAGGAAGACTTCTCAGAGATGTTGCTATCAGGCCATGACTGTGGCATTCGCAGTGCGGTGAGGGTGAAGGGGGACCCATACCAGCTGGTGCTGGGCTTGGCGCTCCACCTCCAGGGCGTTCACCGTGCATCTCAGCTCCAGGATCTCCGACTGGCAGCACTGCAGCTCCTCAGAGCAGGACATGGCCTGCAGGCTGATGCCTTCAGACTGAAGCACAGGGCACAGAGATGTAACCGCCTCCCTGCCCACATGGGGGCCAGGCTCCCCCTGCCCCTGCTCTGCAGCACCGCCTCACCTGAGCTTCAAACCACTGCTCCACATCACGGCGGTTGGTCTCCACCATGGCCTCGTACTGGCACCGCATCTCCTCCAGCACCCTGCTCAGGTCCACGGTGGGCTCAGTGTCCAGCTCAATGCGGAGCCTGTCTCCCAGCTGGCCCTTCAGAATGTTCACTTCCTGCAGGGACAGAAGAACCAAAACCCCAGGTAAGAAAGGGCCTTCTGACAGAGCAGACGGCACCTGAACCCCTCTCCTGACAAGCAGTGTGAGGGGAAACCCCACATACACACTGATGAGAAAGGTCTTGTTTCTGGGGCCAATGGGAAGAGCCCATCTGGAGACTTTCCTAAACTCACAAGGCAAATCTTTAGAGAAGAAATTTCCACTCTGCCACATCCCACAGAATCAACCTGTCTCAGACTCAGGTCAACCCATTATGCTGATGCCAACTGAGCCCAGGTTCCAATCCTAGAGCCACAGGGTGGGAGGTGGTCCCTTCTCTGCCCAACACTCCCTCCCCCACGAGTCTGCAGCTACAGGGCCAGACCTGCTCATGGTTGCTCTTGAGGGAGAGCTGCTCCTCCTTCAGGGACTCCTGCTGGGCCTCCAGGTCAGCCTTGGCCAGGCTCAGGTCGTCCAGGAGCTTGTGCATCCCACACATGTCCGCCTCCACCAGCAGGCGCAGGGAGTGCTCGCTCTCGTGCCTTCCATCACAGGAGATGCCAGGTCAGCAAGATGCCAAGGAGAGCCCCTCTCGGCTGACCCCGGGCCCACCTCCTCACCACCTCAGATCCTCATTTGCTCACCTGATCTGCAATGACTGTGTTGGTCTCTGTAGCTACAGAGATCATGGTCAGGACATGTATCATTATGCCCATTGACTAGATGGAAACTGAGTCTCGGAAAGAATAACTAGATGTCTAGGATTATATATCTTGGTTAATTGCAAATACTGGACTCAGCCTAAGTGTTCAGATGAAATGCAGCATCCATTCTGCCATAAAGGAGTCATTGAGTCAGGAAAAAGAGTGGCTTAAAAATAAGCCTTCTGGGCCTACAGTTCACTGCGTCATCCTTTGGATTAATTATTTTGCATTGTTTTTATCATTCATTCAACTGCAATTCTTGACACAAGAGGCTACAATGACAATTCTTCCCACTGATGGATTAGGCCAAGGGTCAGTGAGTCTATCAACAACCTATGCATTGAAAGTCTGTTCTTGGAATGGCTAGATTTTGCTTCCGGTTATAATACAAAACCCTCTTGTTTTCTAGATATGGGAAGAAGATGACAGGATCTAACCAATCTAAACCTTACCTTCTTTTTTTTTTTTTTTGCATTTGTTTCTCTCCCACCCTGTATAATGACCATTTCTAGTAACAGGTTAAATTATGGTTTGGAGAGGAAGAAAGGGGACACTTATTCATTGATTCATTCATTCTCCTAGTCAATAACTAGTTTTGAACACCTACTTTGGGCAAAGACTCTGACGGGCACTTAGAAATAGAACAGAAGAGAGGAGTCACTCTCGGCCCTCTTCTGGCCTTACTTACTTGATCCTGAAGTCATCGGCAGCCAGCTTGGCGTTGTCGATTTGGCTAACCAGCCTGGCATTCTCAGCCTTGCTGCACAGGATCTGAGAAAAACCAAGAGGACTGTTCACACACAAACCACACTGGGCTCCAACCCAACATGTGGTGTCTACACTCCTGCTCAAGAAAACTCAAGAACCCAAAGCTCTGAGCCTTCAGTGGTTTGGTCTGACGTGCCCTCCGCCTCCCTCAGACCCAGCACACCCCAGGCTACTCCAGACCTCACCTTCTGCTGGAGCTCCTCAATGGTTTTGAAGTAGCACTGGTAGTTGGGGCACACGGTGGTCTCATGGCATTTGCTCAACTCTCGGATGCCGGTCTCCAGCTCCGCATTCTCCCGCTCCAGCTGCCGCACCTTCTCCAGGTAGTTGGCCAGGCGGTCGTTCAGGAACTGCATGGTCACCTTCTCGTGGCCATTCAGGGTGCCTTCCCCATAGGCGCCACAGCTTCCAATGTTGCCAGGAATGTTGCGCGTCCCTGGCAAGGGGCAAGCAGTGTGGCAGCTGTGGGGTAGGCAGAGGTTGGGTCGGCCCAGAGGGGTCGACCCCACACGAACTCGGTTGGCGTGTGCCAGGTTGGCCAAGAGGCCCATACAAGCAGCCTTTTCCTCTATCGCAGGCTGGCCCCCAAGGTCAAGGGAGGAGACGCAGACATTTCTTTCTCCAGGAGCCTGGGCGCTGCCCAGAGACTGGCATGGGCTGATGTAGAAGGAAGTCATGGTGTGGGCTGAGGCTACACAGGAGGTTCAGAGCAGCTGGGAAGGCCAAGACACTGAGTCTGAGCACCCCCTTCCCTCCTAGGCCTTTTATACCCCTTCGCAGGTGGGTGTTGGCTCAGGGCTTTGACCTCACTGCCTTGATTCCCGACCTGTTGTACCGCCATCCTGTTACTCAGCTGTTGAGTTTACCATTAAGAGTTCCTCACCTCATTAAAGGAATGTTGATGATCTGAGGTGCCTCTTGGCTCTTTGATATCAGGTTGTCTGTTGATGGGAGACTTATATTCCTATTCAACCACCACCAACAGTTAAGGCAGCCCCAGATGTCCTCTCCCAGGGCTGTACTGGTCTCCCTGTGGGTGCGGCCACACTGCAGAATCAAATCTTTCAGTAAGGGATTTGCTCGGCAGGAGAAACAGCACATCTGTAAGATCCAGTGGCTCTCCCACCTGTGGCTGGACTCAGCCAAGCTTGCCTTTCAAGAGAAAGGCCAGTTTATAAAACTAGCAAGTCTACTGATATTTGAATGTTGAGAGGCTCCCATTTCTTCTTTTTTCTTTTTTACATTACACACTGCCTTTGAGGAGCAACAAAACATCAGTGCACCCAGAAACACTGGTGCTACTTTAGTCTTGGTTGACCAGTCAGCATCAGCGCTCATTCATTCCCTTGTTCAGCATCTTTCCTGAACACTCCCCGTAACTCAGGCAGTGTGCTGGTTCCTGGACACACAGTGGTCCCTGTTCTTCAGGAGAACACAGCGTCACAGAAGTCATAGGATGTCTTAAACAAACTTGAATGAGAACCATACATCAATGAGAGTTAGTGAAAGACAGAGAATTCATGGTTCTGTCCAACGATGTATCTAGAGAGAAGCCACTAACAAAAAACAACAACCTTATTTAATCCAGAAGAGGGAAATTGAGCACAGAGTTCAAGGGCTGATGAGACAGAAGTTCAAGAACTATCATTTATAGAGGACCCTGGTGGGCTAGCTGTTCTACTGTATTCCTTCCTATTGAGTCCTAACCTGTGAGGTGGTTGTTCTCAGCCTCAATGTGCAAATGAGAAAAGTGGAATAAAGTTCATTTTCTGAGTTGACAATCGGACAGGGGCTCAATTCAGTCTCATGTCTGTAGAGTTCATTCTCTCTCCACCTCACCACAACCCCCCAGGGGAACAACCTGTGCCATTGCCCATGTCATGGCTCGGGAAAGTATTGGGCTTAGTTATTGGGCAGGAAGTTGGAGTGCAAAGAAATAAAATTATTGAGTGTCCTTGTGTTCCAGCACAGGAAGATGTGTAGATACTGAGGCAGGGCATACAAGACCATGCACATAGAAAAGTTATACTTAAAAATAAGAGTCTGTAACATATCTCAGATCCCGAAGAGTTTCATCAGAGCCGAGGAGCCAATGCAACCAACTGCTGTAGGGCCAGGAGTTGCCCCTCCAAAGTGGACAAGGGAAAGTAGAAGGACCTAAGGACTGAGGAAGATCCAATGAGATAAGACCCTAAAAGAGTATAAATCTGTCTCCTCTCTGAGCAAAGTTCAGGAGCAAGCAACTCCATGGAAACCAAATGGGAGGCAGTGGGTGTGAGTATTGGTGAAATCTGAGCTCTTAGAATTCTCTCAAGAAGAAATAAAATAAAGAGAACTGGAATTCTCCCCAAAAGGAAGACTGCTGTGGGTCAGCTGTGCCTCTCCCGGTTACCCTGAGGTCATCAATGAATAACTCTTTACTGAGGCAATCCTTAGAAGAACTCCCCCAGCCAGGTTGCCCTTCAGAGGCCTCTGAGCTCAATCTGCATATGTTCCATCTTCAAACACCTTTTTGTTTCTTCCGTCTCATCGTGTAGCATCACTATAATCCAGAGAATTGGACCTTTAAAATTGTTTCCTTTGATTTGCTAAATAGGCTCCATCTTTTGACCCTGTCCCCAGACAGGATTCGTACCATTGACAAACATCATGGTTCCTTCCGTCTCAGAACACACGCCGCTTGCTACTCCTAGGCCTCACAGCTGAAGTTTTGCACCCCTGGCCGACTCCCCTCTCTAAAGCTCAACCTGTGCCCCCCAGTGTGGGCTCTGCGTGGTCAGTGTTGCATAGTGGCGTCCTCTGTAGAGCAGTGGATTCTGCTGCTTTGCTTTTGTCTCAAAGGAACTGGCCGTGAGTGGAAGGTGTGACGCAGTGGAAGTGTTTGAGTTGCACTCAGCAGTGTAGGAGAGGAAGATCCCACCCCGGACACCACAGACTACCCCTTCCATTCCCCTGTAAAAACAGCCCCCGGTCCCTAAGAACAACATATGAGCAGGGTTACAGGAAAGGAAGTGCTGGCAATGAAGAGTGAAGAGAGGGGTAGTCCTGCAGCCCTCCTTCATCCACAGGGGCCACCTCTTCTCTTTCAAGGGTAAAATTTTTTGAGCTACCATATATCTTCTGGGGAAGGTGGGACAGTGGGTCCAGAACAGCATCCTTCAGTGCAGCGGTGGTAGGACGATACCAGCACATCGCTGAGGGAGAGAAAGCAGTGGAGTTGGAGCAGCCCACAGGGCCTGGGTCTAACCTGCAGCTACCTTGTCGGTTGCTGGGGGTGGATTCCGGGGATACTTAAGGAGACACGTGCTGTCCACAGGCGGCACCCACTGTGTGTTACACTGGAAAGAAGTCTGAGAAACACCACAAGCGGTGCATTCGGACACAGCTGTGCCTGCAGTGCTCTCAGGCATGCTGGTCAAGGTCAGCGTTTGAGGGAGACACCTGAGAGATCTTCTGGATTTCAAAAGTCCATCTTGAGAGGCTTTGAAACAGAGAGAACGTTGCCATTTTCTTTTCTCTTACATGAGATTTTATACTGTGTTACTTGGGAACCTTTAGTTTGACTTTTAAGGGTTTTCAAAATTATTATTCTGCTTTATTATTGTCCCAGATCTTCAGTTCATCAGAGACTAATTCTTACGAAAATAATTCTCTTTGCTTCCCCTTTTCCCCCTTGGTCCCAGGGTTCCTTTATCTACATTCTAGCGCAGACCTTTTGCTTTAACATTTATCTTCAACTAGGGCCCATTACAAAGTGTTTTAAGGCGGCATAGTAGAGTGGTTAAGGCCAAGGACTCTGGGGCCAGCCTGCTTGGGTTCAGATTCTGGTTCTACCATTAACTAGCTGCATCAACTTGGCCTGGTGACTTGACCTGTCTATGCCGTGGTTTCTGCACACGAGAAATGGAAGCAGCAATAGCACCCAGGTCATAGATTTAAGCATTAAAGAAGTTGATATCTATAAATCATTTAAAGTAATGTCTGGCACAAGGCACAGGAAGCACTAAAAAGTGTGAGCTATTATTTTTTTCCGATGGCTTTTAATCATGGTTTAGATGTTCACATCATTTATAATTCAAAAATGCCTATTAAATCACCATTTTGTAGCTATTTAAGTTAGCAAAGATCAAAAGGTTAATGTCACAATCTCGGCACTGTCACACACTGGAGGGGAGAGTAAGTTACGCAACCTCTTTGGGAGGCCGTTCAGCAACATCTATTAAAAGTACAGCTGCACATATCCTATGACCCCATGATTCCACCTCCAGGAATTTATGCCACAGACACACTTACATAGACACGTGCGCAAGGGTAACAAGGACATTCACAGCAACAGCTTGGGAGTCATAACACACCAGGAAGAAACCAAATGCACCCAACAGAAGCCTGGTTAAATGAGTTGTTACTCACCCATGTAGCAAAAAGCTTGCAGCTATCACAAATAATGAGGCAGATCTGCATATGTTAACACAGAAATAGCCCCTACAATGCAAGTTTAAGGGGGAAAAAATCCAAGTACACAAGATACCCAGTGTGCTACTTTTTATAATTACCAAAAGGGACATCTATGTAGACTTAAAATTTATAGCGAGACTAACTCTCAGACCGTGAAGTTGGGTGTGAAAAATATATAGCTTTTCTGATACTTTAACTAAATTCCACTTTTAACCTTCATCCCCCGCTACACCAAAGGGCAGAACCTCCATCTCAGTTATCCTAAGGACCCCTTTCCAAGGGGCTGCCCCAAGTTCCGGAGGCCTGTTTTCCAGGGCATTGGGGGCAAGGAGGAAGGCAGGGATGTGTCCTCGGTGTTTTCATTCATCCGCACTGCAGCGAAGGCGGCCCACGTGGGTCCCCCCGCCTAGCTCTTGGCCCTCAGGACACCCAGGTTTGCCAGGTCATCTCATCCACAGCTCCATGAGCTCTCAGGGCTCCCTTTGTTACATCCACGCAACTCTCTGATACACAGGATCACTTTTCAGCTGCTGGGCCAGCCTCAGCCTCAGGCTTCTCTGTGAAGGTTCTTCCCAGGCTCCCCTGAACCTCCCTCCTCTGGGGTCTTGGTGCCTCTCCAGGTTCCACCTGGGGAAAGGAGAACAGATCCCCCCTGCTCCTAAATCCCCAGATCCATTTGGGGTTTCTTTGATCCACCAGACCTTGACTACCTCCCTGTCTGGGAGAAGGGGCCGGACAAGCAGGGGACCTACCAGCATGTCAGTTCTCTTCCCTTCCCCTCCTCTTCATGCCCGGCTCCCAACATGCCTTCGTCTAACTGGAGAGCAGGCCACTCGCCTTTACTCATGCCAGACAAATCCATGCTCTTGTCCACTCAGGGCTTGGTCTTTGAACCTCAAAAGCCTATTCCCTTCGGTCTGCTGTGCCATGCTTTCCCCGAAGCGCTGAATGCTGCCCAGGTGACAGCTTTCATTAGAAGGGCCCTGTGGGACAAGGGAACGCAATGGGCCGCATCTATCAGTACATCAAATACCCCACCCCACCAGCATATGTATAGAAACTAACTTGAAGAGGAGGATTATTTGCATGCAGTAGCCTTTTGTTATGCTTCAAGTTTTTAGAGTATTTCTACTTGTATCGTTTTTTTGTAAGGTTTTTTGGGTTTTTTTAAGAGGCCCTCATACAAACAAAAAAATGCTTGGTATTTTGTTAGCATCTGGACACCCTTGGGCTCCATTTCCCATTTCATGAGTCTGATTTTGTGCTGAATCAGTTGAGTTAAAGTGCTGTCCTTCCCGGTATTCAGAGCCCCTTTGCCCTCCACTCCCTCATCTTTGAGAGACGATCCTGGCTGATGTGGTCCCTGGGGCACTGGACCAGGAACCACCTCTGCTGTCTCGTGTCCCCATAAGCCTCTGGATGTTATCGGTCCATTACTCTGGGTTTCTCAGGGACCATTTCCTATGCGTGTCAAGCTAATAAAACTCACCGACCTGGTTGGAGATAGTCCTGGGGCAAAGATGCATTAATGGAAAAAAGAAAAATTGTGGGAACTTAGAGAGTGAATGATTTAGGAAGTTTAGAATGATTTAGGAAAATATGAACTGAGTAAGTCATTGCAGAACTATCTCTTTGGTCCACTTCACAATTTTTTTGCGGTAGAAAGAGGGAAAGATTGACAACTCCACTTCGTTTTGCACGTTAGCAACCTCTCATTAAATACCCTGATTTCTGGAGGTCAGGTCTGTCCCTAAGAGTTCATATTTCTCAGCTCAAGAGTTGCCTTCAGGTGGGAGCTTCCCCAGCCTCGCCTGGCGCTCGGTCAGTTCCCCTCCCCCACTGCCACTGAGTCCCAGGTTTCCTTGAGTGCAGCCCTCCTGGCGCACTCTGCTGTCGGTTCCCTTGGAAGGCCCTTGGAAGGGGGGTTTTCATCTTACTACTGTTGTCTTGCTCATCTGTATAATTCCCAGCGTAGACCTGACATATAGGAAACCCAATCAGTGAAAAGATTAAAGAAATGACCAAATGAGCTCAACCCTGAAGCAAATTGTATTCAGTATTACCTTCCACGGTGCCTGGTGTGTGGTGATGCTCAGTAAATGTGCAATGAATGAATGAATGAATGAATGAATGAATGAATGAAGAGACATAGCATAAGGCCAAATGATAGCATGTTATGCCGAGGAAAGAAAATCCTGGACTTCTAAACGCTGTGGTCCTAACTCAGATCAAATCAGGATAAGATTTGTCTTTATTTAGGATCATATTTATATGAAAAGTCCTATAGAGGATTGAATTATGCATTTAACCCATGTTCTTTTGTGAAAAGAATGTAATTATTTAATGGAAAATAACTGGTTTGGGTTTACATCCCTGGGACTAGCCCTCTTCTGCCAATGACATACTCTCTCCTCAAGAGTCACCCTCTACCCCTTGTCAGATACTGATACCGACCCATGAAATGTTCCACATGGACAAGGCATTTAAAAGGCTGTAGACAGCGGTGAGCTGGGTGCAGACCAGCTGGTTCAGGGAACTGACTAATCCACTGTCCTGTGAGATTTGTGCTCAGTAAATCAAGGTCTAGCCACGTTCCAAATGACACTGTGTCGGTGACCCTGAGTGTGGGAAATGGGCACCCACGGCTTATGTCACAGGGTGTCCTTTTAAAAGGCAGAATCACCAGAAGGAACAGAGAATAAATACACAGCACCATGACACAACTGCTCTGCAGCCAGAGCAGCCTGCGTGCAGGTCCTGGCTCAGCCTTCGTCGCGCCGTGTAACCCTGTGAGCCCCACCGCTTCATATTTTAAGTGGTCTAGTACAAACATAATTTGCTCTGGAAAGCAAGTTATTAAGTGTATCATTTTGTTTCTGGTTGAATTTAGCTGCTAAAGGAAATTAATGTTTGCTGCCTGAGGCCATGGGTGAGCTTTGAACCCGACCAGTCTGTCTCAGTACCCACATGCCTAGTCATTGTAGGATATTAGCCCTGGAGGAGGCTTGTATGGTGCTTCCTCCCTTTCCGAGTGTTGTAATTCTGGCATCTCACTTAGAACCCATGACAGATCTAGGATGTAAGCAGCAAAGATAACTTTAGCCCTATTTTATAGCAGGGGGAAAAAAAACACTGAGGCTCAGATGTGTTAAGCGATGATTCTCCAGCCCAGTCCCAAGTCAATGACAAAGTCAGGCCTAGAGCATTCACTCTTTCAACATATGTTTATTGAGCATCTCCTCTGTGCGGGACAGTGGGCTAGGCCCTGGGGAAGCAGTAGACAAATGCTGATCTCAAGTGAGCATTTTAATGAGAAAATAATAGGTAAGAGAGCAATGTCAGCTGCTGAGATACTATGATGAAAACACAGAGTGACGGGGTTGAGAGTACTGAAGATTGACGATCAGGCAGGAGCTTTTGGAGGCAGTGATGTTTCAGCTGACACCTGAAAACCAGAAAGAGGGGACAGCATTCCTGGGGCAGGAAGAGCAGGGACAGGTCTCCTGGCATGTCCCGAACAGAAAGGCCACTGTGGCTGGATCGTGGTGAGGACAGGGAAGAGTGGGAGCCACGAGTGGAAGCACAGAAGGTAAGCAAACATAAACATTTTGAAAATATTGTAGAGAGATATTTTCCACTGCCCTTAAGCCATTATGGCCAGGAGCCCTCTCCTGGTTGGATCACTAGGTTTTAATACAGTGGTACCTCGGTTTTTGAATGTCTCAGAACTCGAACGGTTTTCCGGAATGGATTACATTGGAAAACCGAGGTACTGCTGTACTTCAGGGGGATGTGCTAGAAAAAATAAAGTCATTGTTGAAATTTTACTGTAAAATTAGATGAAGAGAGGGGTATAGTCACACAATAGTTGTGAGAGTCAGTATTTATAGAGAGAGAAGAGAGATCTCTTCATGTGAATGCTCCCTTTACATATCAAGAGGCAATCCTGGTCCTTTGTCAAAGGCAGGAATCCTGAGTGGCGAGAACTCAGATTTAATGCAGGGACATTCCCACCTAACTTAGTGAGGAAATGGGGCCAGCTTCCTCGGCAACGGGCAGGAGAAAGGACGCTAAGAGGAACTGGTCAAATATGCAGCCTCTAGGTCCTTATTTCCCTCCGGGGCCATTATCCGGAGCTGGAGATGTTAGAAACAGTAAGTTGGGGGGAATCTTAAATAGTGAAGTTTGTTCTTCACTTCCTTAGTCACAAACAAAATCATTTTAGTTGGTAAATTTTTCAAGTTAAAATTGGTGCCCTTGAAACACAAATGCAACTTCAAGTCATGCCCTAGACTCACCCTGACATACTCCTTCACCCAGATCCCATCCCTGAGTGTCCCCAGTGGAGATATTCTGAGCCACTTCTGGTCATTGGGATCCAGCCAGCAAGGTGTGGAGCTCATCTGGGAAAATCAGGAGCTGGGATGGAAGGGTCCCCATCCAGATTCCACTTGTCCTGGTATCTTTGAACAGGCCTATGCACGCGGAGAGTCAGTGATAGCTAGAAGCCAGATTTCCCAAACGTCTAGTAAGCATTTCTATATGGGTATCCCCTCGCCTTAACCGCCTCTGCTGGTCCACAGGCATTCAGTACCGGCTCCCAGTGCTGGCTGCACAGGCGGAACCAGTCCCGCAAGGGGTACAAGGGACACAGCTCGGACGAGGAGCACAGGGGGGAGGCACACAGGAGGCGGGCGTGGCGCACGGATTGCAGGGGAGTCTGCAGAGAGATGGAAAAGGTGAGCAGTTAGGGAAAGGAAACAACTAGAGGGCTCGCTGATGTCTATGTGGAGCATGAGGAAGGAGTCCTTGCTCCAAAGCCACAGGGCATGGGTGCCACCGAAGCCCTCTGGCCATTGACCCGTACTGTGCACCCCTAGGGTTCGACTGGGTGTTCTCTCAAATGCCTGCCAGAATTCGGGTTTTGTACACGAGAGTCAGGTTCTATCCTACAGGATGTAAAATACTAGGAAAGATTTTGAAAAGAAAAACCAAGTTCAGAAAGCTGTTGGATCAAATCTATGCCAGGAAGCCCCAGTGAAGACCTGGTAGCTGACAGCCACCTCTGCATGGATGGTCATGCCCTGCACACTCAATCTGTGACAGAGTGTGTGGGGGACAGGCAACCTGTCACTCAGCAGGAGCATGGAGAGCCTTGTGCTGTGAAGACAGCAGTTCTGCTACCCGGAGGAGCTTATGAGAAATGGCTACACGATCTGGCCAGGAATTGCTTAGATGACACGTACTTGCAGTCCTCGCTCTCCAGCAGGCTCCGGTACGTGTTGATCTCGCCCTCCAGCCGGGCCTTCGTGTCCAGCAGCACCTGATACTCCTGGTTCTGCCGCTCCAGGTCGGCCCGGATCTCGGCCAGCTGGGCCTCCACGGTGCTGATCAGGCTCTGCATCTGGGCCAGCTCGGTGCCGAAGCGGGCCTCGGACTCACACAGCGAGTTCTGCAGACAGTCTTTCTGTCATGGGAAATGACAGGGTCAGTAAGGCACCAGGGAAACTGTACAAGCACCAAATCTTAGCAGAGCAACTATGGCCAGCACTGCCCCAATATGGGCACAAACCAGGCACAAGAAAAATTTCAGAAACTCACACCCCAGAGCTCTCAAAAATCAAATCGTGAGCAAGACTTTTGCCAAAATAGCGCTGGCCCAGAGCTTAACTGCTGCATGTTGTTCATCCCTAGATCTCCAGTAACTGACAAAGTTAGAAATTAATAAATTTTGTGCAATGAATGCCCAAGTTTCTTTTTTTAACGGAGACGTTGACTTTTTAAGGTATGTTTCTGAGTTTGAGCTGACCTTGACAATAAATATTAAAAAAGAAGAAATGATGGTAACGGGTATGCAGGTGAAAGGACCTGAGTAGTGAGACCTCCACATTGGGTGCTACCAGCCCATGGCTGTGGCATTCGCAGTGCGGTGAGGGTGAAGGGGGACCCATACCAGCTGGTGCTGGGCTTGGCGCTCCACCTCCAGGGCGTTCACCGTGCATCTCAGCTCCAGGATCTCCGACTGGCAGCACTGCAGCTCCTCAGAGCAGGACATGGCCTGCAGGCTGATGCCTTCAGACTGAAGCACAGGGCACAGAGATGTAACCGCCTCCCTGCCCACATGGGGGCCAGGCTCCCCCTGCCCCTGCTCTGCAGCACCGCCTCACCTGAGCTTCAAACCACTGCTCCACATCACGGCGGTTGGTCTCCACCATGGCCTCGTACTGGCACCGCATCTCCTCCAGCACCCTGCTCAGGTCCACGGTGGGCTCAGTGTCCAGCTCAATGCGGAGCCTGTCTCCCAGCTGGCCCTTCAGAATGTTCACTTCCTGCAGGGACAGAAGAACCAAAACCCCAGGTAAGAAAGGGCCTTCTGACAGAGCAGACGGCACCTGAACCCCTCTCCTGACAAGCAGTGTGAGGGGAAACCCCACATACACACTGATGAGAAAGGTCTTGTTTCTGGGGCCAATGGGAAGAGCCCATCTGGAGACTTTCCTAAACTCACAAGGCAAATCTTTAGAGAAGAAATTTCCACTCTGCCACATCCCACAGAATCAACCTGTCTCAGACTCAGGTCAACCCATTATGCTGATGCCAACTGAGCCCAGGTTCCAATCCTAGAGCCACAGGGTGGGAGGTGCTCCCTTCTCTGCCCAACACTCCCTCCCCCATGAGTCTGCAGCTACAGGGCCAGACCTGCTCATGGTTGCTCTTGAGGGAGAGCTGCTCCTCCTTCAGGGACTCCTGCTGGGCCTCCAGGTCAGCCTTGGCCAGGCTCAGGTCGTCCAGGAGTTTGTGCATCCCACACATGTCCGCCTCCACCAGCAGGCGCAGGGAGTGCTCACTCTCGTGCCTTCCATCACAGGAGATGCCAGGTCAGCAAGATGCCAAGGAGAGCCCCTCTCGGCTGACCCCGGGCCCACCTCCTCACCACCTCAGATCCTCATTTGCTCACCTGATCTGCAATGACTGTGTTGGTCTCTGTAGCTACAGAGATCATGGTCAGGACATGTATCATTATGCCCATTGACTAGATGGAAACTGAGTCTCGGAAAGAATAACTAGATGTCTAGGATTATATATCTTGGTTAATTGCAAATACTGGACTCAGCCTAAGTGTTCAGATGAAATGCAGCATCCATTCTGCCATAAAGGAGTCATTGAGTCAGGAAAAAGAGTGGCTTAAAAATAAGCCTTCTGGGCCTACAGTTCACTGCGTCATCCTTTGGATTAATTATTTTGCATTGTTTTTATCATTCATTCAACTGCAATTCTTGACACAAGAGGCTACAATGACAATTCTTCCCACTGATGGATTAGGCCAAGGGTCAGTGAGTCTATCAACAACCTATGCATTGAAAGTCTGTTCTTGGAATGGCTAGATTTTGCTTCCGGTTATAATACAAAACCCTCTTGTTTTCTAGATATGGGAAGAAGATGACAGGATCTAACCAATCTAAACCTTACCTTCTTTTTTTTTTTTTTTGCATTTGTTTCTCTCCCACCCTGTATAATGACCATTTCTAGTAACAGGTTAAATTATGGTTTGGAGAGGAAGAAAGGGGACACTTATTCATTGATTCATTCATTCTCCTAGTCAATAACTAGTTTTGAACACCTACTTTGGGCAAAGACTCTGACGGGCACTTAGAAATAGAACAGAAGAGAGGAGTCACTCTCGGCCCTCTTCTGGCCTTACTTACTTGATCCTGAAGTCATCGGCAGCCAGCTTGGCGTTGTCGATTTGGCTAACCAGCCTGGCATTCTCAGCCTTGCTGCACAGGATCTGAGAAAAACCAAGAGGACTGTTCACGCACTAACATCACACTGGGCTCCAACCCTACGTGTGGTGTCTACACTCCTGCTCAAGAAAACTCAAGAACCCAAAGCTCTGAGCCTTCAGTGGTTTGGTCTGACGTGCCCTCCGCCTCCCTCAGACCCAGCACACCCCAGGCTACTCCAGACCTCACCTTCTGCTGGAGCTCCTCAATGGTTTTGAAGTAGCACTGGTAGTTGGGGCACACGGTGGTCTCATGGCATTTGCTCAACTCTCGGATGCCGGTCTCCAGCTCCGCATTCTCCCGCTCCAGCTGCCGCACCTTCTCCAGGTAGTTGGCCAGGCGGTCGTTCAGGAACTGCATGGTCACCTTCTCGTGGCCATTCAGGGTGCCTTCCCCATAGGCGCCACAGCTTCCAATGTTGCCAGGAATGTTGCGCGTCCCTGGCAAGGGGCAAGCAGTGTGGCAGCTGTGGGGTAGGCAGAGGTTGGGTCGGCCCAGAGGGGTCGACCCCACACGAACTCGGTTGGCGTGTGCCAGGTTGGCCAAGAGGCCCATACAAGCAGCCTTTTCCTCTATCGCAGGCTGGCCCCCAAGGTCAAGGGAGGAGACGCAGACATTTCTTTCTCCAGGAGCCTGGGCGCTGCCCAGAGACTGGCATGGGCTGATGTAGAAGGAAGTCATGGTGTGGGCTGAGGCTACACAGGAGGTTCAGAGCAGCTGGGAAGGCCAAGACACTGAGTCTGAGCACCCCCTTCCCTCCTAGGCCTTTTATACCCCTTCGCAGGTGGGTGTTGGCTCAGGGCTTTGACCTCACTGCCTTGGTTCCCGACCTGTTGTACTACCGTCCTGTTACTCAGCTGTTGAGTTTACCATTAAGAGTTCCTCACCTCATTAAAGGAATGTTGATGATCTGAGGTGCCTCTTGGCTCTTTGATATCAGGTTGTCTGTTGGTGGAAGGTCAGAAGTTTTTAGTATATTTCAAAAAACAGAAGTCCTCTTAGCCATCGGATATGTATACCTTGACCAGGGCTGGCCTCCCTGTTGTTTTGCCCACTCTAAGGCATGACTGTTCCTGTTGGTCACTAGAGTAGCAGGAGAGACAAACCCCTATGTCTATGGTGGCACTCGCTGGGTTAAGACTCAACCAGCCTTCCCTGTACTGGCTCTTGTTTAGTAGATGTTTTGATTTTGGTTAGTAATAAGTCCTACATTTCTTCTTTCTTCAGTTGTTTGCCTTTCAGACTCACTTGAGGGACAGTAAGACTTCAGGAAGTCCACTCATTCAACATGCATCTCCTGGCCTGTCTTACATGCTTGGCACTGTGCCGCACACCGGAGGTAAAGTCCATCAGGAAACAGCCACAACTGGGTAACCGTGGGTGTCTGAGAGGCTCATCAGTATGAGAGTGACCCTGAAAGCCGTGTTGATCTGGACCAAGAAAGGTGAGCTCAAGAAGCCAAAACCAAACAAAAATGAACAATAATCTTTTTAATCTCAAATAAGAACTTGGCCGTGCAATTCAAAGGACACTGAGTTATCAGAGCCACGATGGGTCCTCTTCCTGCCTTATCTCCTTGATTCTAAACTCTGTTATCAAGCACCTACAGTATGTGTTAGGGAATTGATCAATAATATTGTTTAAGCCTTCTTACCATCCTGCGGGGTGTGTATTCTTATCTTAATTTTATAAAAGAAAGAAATAGGCACTGAGAACCAGAGAAGTGAAGTCATTTTTCTAAGAGGAACCCCATTATGAACTGGCAACGCCTGATCTCATCTTCAGTTTCTTTCCATTCCAGAGCCAATTCCTGTTCTCTTTCTTCAACTGCACCACCAGCCCATCCCCCACCTCCCGCCCCCCAACGAGAGAACAGCCATGTCATCACCAGAACTCAGAATGACTAAATGCTTACAGACTGAGCGAGGAGTTGAAATTAAGAGATAAAACAAGAATCTGACATTCTGCATTATTGCTCTTTGTGACTCAGAAAATACAGATGTAAAGGGTACCAAAGCAATAGGGCGGGGTTTCTCCAAGAACCAGCAGGAAGATGCCCAGGAGGAAGTTCTAGTTCCAAAAATGTTATACTACATCCCACACCCTACTAGCTCTTGATACCAGGGAACCGAGACAGCTGACTGGTAGGGTCCTGAAAGTCTTCTCTCAAAAATGTATGGCAGGAGGTAGATAGGCCCCTAAGGCTGAACAACACCTAATGTGCAGTAAGACCCTCTCACATACAAAGTGGTTATAACAAGATCTTTGAAAAAAAAAACGAATATTTGCCAGTGCTTTGAGCATTGAGCAAACGCTAAACAGACATCTCAATAGGGACCAGCTATGTGTATGTGAAACACAGGCTTTGGAGTTCTAACAGAAGAAATACAGAATTTGAGAATTCTATTCAATTGGGCTTTTCAAGGAAAGGCCTAGGGTTACTCAGAGCTCACCAATGAACAGCCCTTTACAGACACCATAATTAGAAGTCATTACCAGGCTAGGCCATCCCATCCTTCAGAGGCTTCTGGGTGCAATAGCAGCAAGCTTCTCTGTGAGCTAGAGAACTTGACTTCTGAAGTCGTTTCTTTTGACTTGCTAAATAGAACTCATCTTCTGACCTTATTTCTCTGGCAGGATTCATTCATTGGCTAAAGGCCATGATTTCTTCCATCTCACCATAAATAACACTTGTTACTTTATAACATCACTGAGGAAGCTTTATATGTTTGGGTGATGCTCCTGTCCACTTAAGCTCGATTATGGTCCTGGCTTGGGCTTCTCCTGAGCATGCTGTTTTGCATAATGACACTGATGTTGCCTGTCCCTTTGTAAGGTCGCTTGTTTCTACTGATTTGCATTTTTCTCAAAGCAGGTGAGTGCAGGGTGGAGATCCTCACCCACATACTTAAGACTGCCGTCTTTCCTAACTCTTTAAAGAGCTCCTGTGGCTCTTAGTGAACGAATATAAGCCAGGTTCTGCGACAAGAAGTGGTGAGCACAGGGTGAGGGATGGCTGGGACCCTTTAGCCCTCCTTGATTTGATGGTATGCACAAAGTTCTCTGGGCTGATTCTGACTTTAGAAACACGGGTCTCCAGAAGCGGGAAGCCTACTGCAAATGGAAGCAGGGAGTGGTGGTCTTGGGATGCTATTTTCGAGCATGGTGTTTTAACTATGAGCGTCTTTCAATCAGTGGGAGAGAAGGGTGTGGGGTTGCAGGTTAGCACCTGAAAATCGTGCCTAACCCACAGCCTACCTTTTCTGTGCTGCGGGACGATGCATGGGAGCATCCGGGGGTTTGTGCCCTGTGTGTGGGCATCACCCATCACCCATTGCAGTGGATGCAAAGATTGAAAGCACTCCTGTGTATGGAGCCTCCTGCTGCCATGTCTTAGGTGTTAGGAAATGGTGCCAAAGAAAAGCTAGGCCTGGAAAACCATAAAGGCTCTTAAGAGAAGAGACTGAGCATATCAATTTATTATTCTAGGTATGCAACTCTTGAAGCTGTGATGAATGGAAAAGGCACCTTTTCTTTCAAATTAGATAGGATTTTACCATCTGATTTCTTAGATCCAGCCTCACAATCCATAAAGTTTATTCAGTATCAGTGTTATTTTTCTACCTTCCATGACATACTCTAGACATTAGGGGTACATCTAGAAAAGACACAGTCCCTGCCTTAGAGTGGGGGAGACTTTTGTGACAAAGCTCCACACTGGACCTGTGAGGAGGGTGCCACACTCACTCTGAGGTCTTTAGACTTGTCACCATCTTCCTTCCCATTACCCTGTTGGTGGCCCAAGCGTGATCATAGTTGAAATTAGTTTTCCTTTGCAACTGTCTAGAAGAAGTAGTCCTGTTTTTTTCTTTACTCTTACACCCACAGTACTTCAGATGCCAGATGTATGAGCTTTCGGCACACCAAGCAATTCTCTGTGACACCATCTTCCTGGAGTCAGTGTCAGATCCCACAAGTTAAGGGCTAAGTCCCACAAAACTGTCCCCACTTCAGACACCTATTGCAATGCCCAGATTGCTACCTGTACTTCTGACTGACTGGCTATAAATTAGGGTTCCACAATCCCCCCCTTGAAACTGATAATTTGGGAGAAGGGCTCACACAACTCAGGGAATCACTTACTTACATTTACTGGTTTATTAAAAATGATATAATAAAAGAACAGCCAGATAAAGAGCCACATAGGGCAAGATATGTGGGAAGGTACTGGGATTTTTATGGAGGCTTCATCACATAGGCAGGATCGATCCTTAACTCAGCCTCTGGTCCCTCTCCCATTCCTGGAGGACGGGGGTCAGGGTTGGGGGAGAAATGGAAAGTTCCAAACTTCTAATTATAGCCTGGTCTTTCTGGTGGCCAGCTCCCATCTAGAAGCCCACCAAGAGTGGCCTACTTTGAACAAAAGACACTCCTGTCACTGAGGAAATGCCAAGGAATTTAGGAGCTCTGAGTCAGGAACCAGGGTTAGAGACCAAAAATTGGAACAAAAGATGCACCAACACTCACCCTCCTTTCCCTGCCATTGATGCCAGAGCCCCTGGCCTCACCTTATCTTTTGTGGCAGCTCTTTAATGGCCTCAAAGTTGTAGGCAGTGATTCGAGGACATGTTGGGGACCTGCCATTTGCTGCCCTGCTGGGTCCCCGCCCCCCAGCTCCTCATTCCCCTGCTCCGCCTGCTGCCCCTTCCGCAGGTAGGCGGCCAGGCGATCATTTAGGAGCTGCCTGGTTTCTTTCTTGCTGCCACTGAGGAACTTTGGCCAAGCCAGCTACAGGTGTCTATGCTGGTGGGGAAGCTGTTGGTCCCTAGCAGATGACAAGCTGAGGACCAACCGCTGGAAGGGCCAGGCTGGCCTACCTGTGAGCCACAGGCTCTGGGAAGACGGCTGCTAGATTGGCTGCTCTCTTTCGGGTGGGCCCCCGTGCGGAGCTGGAGGCTGGGCAGCCCCTGGGCACAGAGTCCCTGTGGCAGCTGCTTGCCACAGCCTGCCTGGAGCTAGGAGCCTTCAGACAGACTTCACAGCACTTGAAGAGCAGCAGTTTTTGCTACCACTAGAAGCCATGGCCCTGGAAAGCTGAGTTGCAGGTTGGTTACCAGGACCAAGCACCCAAGCGTGAGAGTGCTTCCTTGCCAGGCCTTTTATCCACCCACTGTGGGTGCGGGTGCAATCTGCAGGTTTCTCCCATGATGTCCTCATGTCCACTGCCATCAGAACAGCCATTAGTCAGTTATTCGGTCTCCATAAGCAGCTCCCTGCCTCATAAGAGAGAGGTAACTGCCTTTGGACTCCTTGTCGCTGCCTTCTGTTGCTAAAAGGGATGTTTTATCTCTTTAAAGACACCCCATTGAGAAGTTCTCTTCATCTGGTGTCTCTCTGGGGTGGCATGGCCTTAAAGAAACAGTGGTCCTCTCGAAGAGGTAGAGTTCACTGAGCGTGCGGTCCTCTAGTCTCAGGGCAGGAGCCCCAGAGAGACTGGACATAGTGAAAAGGTGCTAAGGCGTTAGAACTGAACTCCGAGAGCTCATTCCACCCCATCCTGCTTCAGCTGGAGAGGAGAGGGCTGTGAGCTCCTCGGGGCACAGAGCAAGTCAGCCCCAAGGCCAGGACTGGGGCCCGGGGCTCCTAACTGCAGCACACCCTCTCTCCTCTGCATCCAACATTTTCTATTAAAACACCAAACGGTCAATATTTTAGGCTTTGCGGGCCAGACAGTCTCTTTGCCCTACAGCTGCTCCCCTCTGCCCGTGGCACAGAG